GAGTTATGGTCAAGGGAGAGAATCATATTGACAATGTGCCTTGGTATGGAATCTTAGTAGATATTATTGAGCTCTTTACACATAAGGAAATAGAGTTGTATTGTTCAATTGTGATTGGTATGACATAATACGAAAAGGAACAGGTTACAAGATAGATCGTTATGGAATAATAATTGTTAATACAACACGGAAGCTAAATACTCAAGAGCCATTCGTACTGGCAAGCTAAGCAACCCAAGTTTTTTATGTGAAGGGGGTTAAAAATAAGATTTGGAGTTTTGTAGTGGAAAAAAATTCAAGAAACCTTTATGAGATGAATGATGATTAGAGTGAGCCATACCAAGAAGTAGAGACTCAAAGTCGAAGCATGCATGTCATCCAAAATGATGTTGAAGACAATGAAACTGATTGAAAAAGGGATGCAATTCAACTTAAAATTATGGGATAAGTTCTCATGTAATTGTGATAGTTTATTTTTTTAGATTGACTATTTTTAGTTATTTATTTTGGAGTGTGATTGGCTATTAACAATCAAATTCTTTAATTATTATTTTTGGTTATATACAATTATGATGAGTTTTTAATTTTCAATTTTGTTTGTCTTCTATTTCTAAAATAAATGATAGCCATTGTGGGAAATGTTAATGAGCTTTGGAACTTTTAACATGTAAGATTACACAATTTAATGAGATAAGTATTGATTATATATTTTTCAGCAATTGACCTTCAAACGTTTTTCCGAGAAGACATATTTCTCTTTGGAAATAGTCAAACAATTTAGACGAAAGGAGAAGCTCCCTAGAAATAGTCAAACAATTCTGACGGAATAAGAAGCTCCTTAGAAATAGTCAAACAGTTTCGACAGAATGAGAAACCCCTCAGAAATAATCATCTTATTTCCGACAAACGTATTTTTAGTCGTTAATAAAGTTGGCGCCAAATCTTCCCACCAAATAAAATACATTTCCGACGACAATAGATACTTTTTCCGAGGGTGTTTCCTTTATCGGAAATAAATTTCAGGCCCGTGACATATTTCCAACGGAAAACATTTTTTTGTCGGAAAAAACAATTTTATCGAGGGAATTTCGGGGCCCTCGGAAAATGTTGGTAGATAATGACCCTTTTTTTGTAGTGAAAAAAAAGTGTATTGAAGTAATCAAACCGTTCCTCCAAGGATTTGATTGGACTTTCTGTTTACCAAAAAAGTAAATGTAGAACCCGACAAAGGAAGAAAAATGTAAGACTTTTGGTTGGAGTAACTTTAACCTTTAATTTTTGTCTTGTTATGTTCATGTGGTAGTTTGACATTTCTTTTGGAAATGCTCTTATATCTTCTTCAATCATAAGGGCCGAACCTAAAAAATTCAAAAAATTTAGCCCAAATCCATCTCTAACCCATATACAATGAAGGGTGAAATTTTGGGCATATGGGTTTTGGGGAGGACATATTAGCCCAACTTTCCAGTCCAGGCAAAAATTTTATGGGTCCCAACTGCAAGCCAGGTTGCAACACATGAAAAGAGGCAATGGAATGGCAAAAGTGGGTGAACCATGTCAACCACTTAAAGGAAAAGGCTGCAACGCGTGGTGCTCCTTGGGGGTTTATACATTAGCATCTAACAACATCATTTGAATATTTTTTTTGTATATATTTCAAATGTAACGTCTACTTAATCCAATGACTGAAAATAAAAAGTGGCTAGATCAATGGGAAAAAAAATGATCCAACAGCTGAAATTAAAATCGAATAGTTAAGATAAATAAAACAAATATTCTAAATTAGATCCAACTTCAAAACACACCCAAAACTTTATAAATACCCATCAATTTGTTAAATAACTCACAAAAGTTTTATTTTTCATTTTTTATTTATCTTTTCTCACTATGTTAATTTCGTTTAATATTCTTCCATTTTTGCTGAAAATGACACTAAAACCACCAAAAGATGTTAATTGAAGACCACAAGAAGATGAAACATTATGCAAAGGATGGATTTCTATCGCTAAAGATAGGGCTATTGGCATGAATCAACCAAATGACTCATTTTGGCAACGTGTGTACCAAATTTTTTTGAAAAATGATACGGGCATTGTTGGACCGAAGCCGAGAACACCACAAGCCATTGCTTCTCAGCTCAAGACCATTAATCGGAATGTTCTCTTATGAAGGCATGTTTGACTAAGGCCATTGCAGGGCATGCAAGTGCCCCAAATCTTTGAAGATGTGGTGAGTACCTATTTTATTAAAGGCCTAAATTTATAATTCTAATTTAGGAGATAGGGAAAGATAAGGGAAAAGTATGGCTCATGTGCAACGATATCATTCAAGATGCGATAGAAAAACTCTCTCCATATTCTGAACCTCCTGCAAAAGTCCACTGGGGAGTATAGTGGTCTTTCGCAGAAGTAGTCCTCCATGAGGTTATGATGTTGCTTTTATCTCTTCCAATTCTTGTATTTACGGACTACAAAGGAACCGCCATGTTGGGATAGCTGGGCATACTACTTCAATGAAAACGTATGATGTTGAACGATCATTGCAACCCTTTGTTGATGAAGGTCATCATCAGAATCATCATTGAAGAAATTTTGTATAGCCTTCCCATATGAATTCATTGTAAGAAGGAGAATGAAAATAAAGGAGATTGTGTGTTTTGTTGGGTTGAATAACTCTTCTTAAATAGACAAGAGGATGAGGTTTGAAAGGAAGATGATGTTATTAAAAATTGTGTTCTCTTTTTCTGTAAAACTCTTATTCAAACCTTTAAATATAAATAATATATAAAATAAAGCTTTAACAGTAAAATAAAAATAAAGAAACAAATAAATAAGCAAAATCAATCAAGAGTAAGAAAGCAAGCCTAGTATAGTAAAAGCATGTCAAACACATTGTCCTAAAGCTTTTGTAGCTTCCCTACATGTAAGTAATGACGGTCTACAAGACTCTAAGATGTGACCCCCAATAAGAAAGCTCAAGGTCCGCCATGAGCACGTTCACATTCGGATAGAAATCTCCAAGTCACAGAACCGTTGCCCAAAAATAATAATATGGAAAGTAGAGAATATATGAAAGTAGGAGAATAGAGAAATCAGATTGTGGGGTATTTCAAATATGAAGGAGGAGTGGCTTTTTATAGGCATCGAACACTTGTAACCTCTAGACACATTAAACCAAAAAAATTAAGGCAATGAATAAAAAATAAAAACTGAAAATCAAACAATTGTAACTCCCATAATAAATAAAAGAAAACAACCAAAAAATATTAAAATATAATTTAAAAATCAAAACGTTAAATTTTAAAAGTCCTTCAAAGAACAACAGATGATAGGAAATTAGGATAAAATACAAATGAATAAGGAGGAAGAGAGGAAATAATTGCAAAATGACAAAATGAGGTGGCCTACATGTCTGATCATAATTGAATGAAGATATGAAAAGATATATAAAGATAAGGGAATCCAATAAAGTGATATTGACAAAGATGAGAAATGGTTCATAATATGATTGAAACGAGACAATAAGAGATAAAGGGAATCTAATAAAGTGAGATGGATAAAGATGATCAATGGTTCAGAACATGATTAAAACAAGATAATAGGAGATGGTGAAGGGCTCATAAAATAATTGAAGAAGACAAGTGAAGGTGGGCATGGGTTCATAACATTATTGAATTATGATAAAGGAATCCAATGAAGTAAAAGTAAAAGTAAAAACCAATATACTCATCCATTTGGCTATAAATATTTACCTCCATATGCAACCTAATCAACCACACCAATGGAATCTAACAATCAAAGGCAACATCATACATTTGATTGGGGATGCCTCCATCCTAGGTGCAATCCACCTCCACCTCCTTTAATAATCAAGAAATGCATTGAACAAGTGTTCTTAGTGTCTGACTTCACTCAAAGTTCAGAAATTTGAGCTCATAAGCAGTATCTTAAGTCCAACACCAAGATAATCAAAGGGAAATCTGTAGTTTGTAAGCATGACAATGACACAATTCATTTAACATCAGAAGAGTATAAAGAAAAAATAATAGATTATTATAAATAAACCCAATCCTAGACATGTATTTATAAAAAAACCCACATACTATTTAAACATAGAAACACACCCAAAATTAACCACAAAATCAATAATTGTATATTTTTTGGGTGTGTTTATAAATGGGTTTTGAGTGTGTGTAATGATGGGTTTTGGGTGTATTTATAAAGTGTTTTGGGTGTTGGGTTTTTTTATAATTTCAGCCCCCATTTTGGGTGTTTTAGTGAAACTCCCAAAAAATAAAAGGCAGTTATGGTGATGGCTTCAATGAAAGGTTCAAATTATTCCGGGCATATGCAAAAGTAGTAGCTCTAGGGACTATAGATTGGGATGATGTAGATGATGTGACCGCATTGTAACTAACCAAATAAGTCAAGTTGTTCAATTTGTTTTTAATATAAGTTGCGTACTTGTTTTTATTTTCAAAGTTATGAAATAAAATACCCAAAAAAAAAGTTATGAAATAAAATACCCAAAAAAAAAAAGTTATGAAATAAAATGTTGTTGTACATGTTTTTAATTTTAAGTGAAATTATATTGTATTTTGGATTTTGGATTTTTTTGTTGTTAAAATGTTCATAAAATTAGATCACGAATGTTAAAATAAAAATAATGTCAAGAAAAATTGATGACAAATAAAATTAAAAGTTAACTATTTTAAAACAATTTAATAAAGTTGCTAACTCAAATTATGGGTATGTATTAGAGGAAAAAACATTCCAGTTAATATATGAATAGTTGTTATTTGTAGGTGAAAATTTGAGTTTAGAAGGAAATTTATATGTCAAAATTTATGGTATAGATCATTAACTGGAATAAAGCGGCCCTTTTTGAAATCTGGGCCATATGTGGTTCTTCTGGATTTAACCTTGGGCCATTCCATAGGTTAGACTCGGCCTGTATCTCTGTCCCGCCCTTTCCACTGTGATTTCCCGTGGGCCATTCCATAGGTTAGACTCGGCCTGTATCTCTGTCCCGCCCTTTCCACTGTGAGATTTCCCGACTCTCTCTCTCTCTCTCTCTCTCACTCCGAGAAGTGAAAATCCTCTCTCTGTCTTTGTGTCTCTCTGTTTCTTTGTTCTTCGTCTATGCATGCATGAGTGGAAGAGAAGAGAAGACAAGTAAAGAAGCTAGCGAAGATGAGTACGGTGGACAAGATGCTGATAAAGGGAATTCGGAGCTTCGATCCGGAGAACAAGCACGTCATCACCTTCTTCAAGCCCTTAACCCTAATCGTCGGCCCAAACGGCGCCGGAAAAACCACCATTATCGAGTGCTTGAAGCTCTCTTGCTCCGGCGAGTTGCCTCCCAATGCTAGGTCTGGCCACAGCTTCATCCATGACCCGAAAGTTGCCGGCGAAACCGAGACCAAAGCCCAGATTAAGCTTCGATTCAGAACCGCAGCGGGTAAAGATGTGGTGTGCATTAGGTCATTTCAGCTCACGCAGAAAGCCTCGAAAATGGAATTCAAAGCCATCGACAGTGTCCTTCAAACCATTAATCCCCACACGGGAGAGGTACAATTGCTTTTCAATCAAAACTTCAAATTCTTGTTGAATATTCAAATTTTGTTTTGTGTTGTTGATTCTTTATTTCCGAGTTGCAGAAAGTTTGCCTTAGCTATAGATGTGCTGATATGGATAGGGAAATCCCTGCTTTAATGGGTGTGTCAAAGGCTATTTTGGAAAATGTTATATTTGTGCACCAAGATGAAGCCAATTGGCCTTTGCAAGATCCTTCCACATTGAAGAAAAAGTTTGATGATATCTTCTCTGCTACCCGGTATTGCCTTTTGTTCCCACAACTTTTCTTTTCTTCTTCCTTTCCATTGTTGAGCTAAATTTGTATATTAATATTTCATTCCTTGTGTGGCCTTCAATTTTTTGTGTGAAAAGGCCGTGTTCCTTGATTTTGTGAAATGATTCAGGCATGGTTCTTCTTTAAACATGAAATTTGTTACACGTGACGTGAAAGTGAACTTTGTGACTTATATAGTTAACGTCTGTCCATAATTTTGCTAATGGTTGCTCATAGTTTGTTTCTATTTTTCCTACTCGGCCACTATAAACTTTTAGGAATTTTCCAAAGCAAACTTTTCTCTTTTCTCCCATTTCTTTTCTTTTGTATTTACCCTATGAAAATGAGAAATAGAGATGAATTAATGAAAGTTTTCCTTTTCTTTGTTGATTTATTAAAGCTCAATAAGTGGGAATTTGGGACTCATTTTCTCCATTTGTTCTTCTTCTCATCTTTCTCGTCCTTTTTCATTCAACCCGATTTAAGTTCTATTGAGTTCACAACCAGTATTAATTTTCCAGAATAAGAGTTCTAAAAACTTGCTTTGTAACAGTGGTTGGTATACTCTTAATCTTTTGAGAATGTACCTAAACAACCTGAGTTCTTATACTTATTTTTTATCTTAATATCAGCACTTTATTGCCCACAAATTTCTTCTATGGTTGACCTATTTTATCTTGAAAATTGGCCTCTCCACCTCTGCAAATGAGCCACTTGGAGATTAGAGGAGGGTTTAGGGTTAGAAGCAAGCAGACTTTCACAGTACTTAATCCATTCAGATGTTATCCGATTATTTCGTCAGTGAAGTACTATCGCCATTAATTTCATTTTAAGATAGTCGTAAACCTCAGTTGGTTGAGCTCCAGGAACCCAATGATTATTTGTGTGTGAACCCCTCTCCCCTAATCGCTTGTACTAAAAAAAAAAGGATAGTTGTAAACCTCAGCATAAAAGAAAAGAATAAAAAATTAATAATGGATGTTTTAGGTCATGCCACTGTGCTGATCTCAGATTGATCACATGCTCTGGTACTGTTTTTTTCGTTTGTGTTACATGCACTTGATTTTTTTCTCATGCATGTTTGCATGATTTGTGATATCAGATTATGTTCCTCCCTTGTGTATGCGTGTATGTAATGTGACTGAGTAGATTACCTGTTCCCCAAGACGTACTTCAAGAAACCTGTCTGCATGTTTTGAGTCCTGTTCCTGTGAGCTGGTTGGTGTTTGCTTAGAACATCTGAAATAGCCTTAACATATACATAATTTTGCTTGACACTGCTGCTTAGTCTGCCAGTGCTTGCTGTAATTTGTTTTCTTTCTTTTACACTTTGATGATGATTGTTGAAACTTCTGAATCATGGGCATCTACTACTTATCAGATATACCAAGGCATTGGAGGTGATAAAAAAACTTCACAAGGATCAAGCTCAAGAAATAAAGACCTACAAGCTAAAATTGGAGAATCTTCAGACCTTGAAAGATGTTGCATATAAGGTTCTTGTACTCCTTTATTGTGATAATGCTAATATGCGAACTATGAATTTTCAGGGTTTTGTCCTCTCTTGCTTCACCGCACATTTTAAGAAAATTATGAGTTTCATGTGTGCAAATTATAAGTAGGATAGTAGTTTCTATGTGCAAAGTTGTCTGTTGAATTAACCCCAAGGCCAGAAACTTTCCTTAACAAGGATGTTCCCTATTTCTAAATTTACCTACTACATGGGAACACTCCTTGGCATTTTTCCCTATAATGATCTGGTACGTGGAGGACCATGGGACTGCATGAGCATGTGGATTAGTTTGATGCTGAAAAGTCAATTTTATCTTAGATTCCTTAAAATGATAAGCAGTCAAATGAATTGTTTGAGGAAGAGGCTTAATGTTTTTAGTTAGATATGGTGCATAGAACAACATAGTGGGGCGGGATTATATTCTGATTATTCCCCACAGGAGTAGTTATTATTGCGATATATCATCACCTAACATGGCTAAAATAATGTCTCGTGTCTAATTGCCTATAAGTATCTATAACTATGATTTGAATTTACTACTTGATGTATTTAAAAAATGAGGTCCTTTGTTTTCATGGGTTTAAGGGACACCCTTCTGGGCCCACCCTACATTGTATTTCAATGATCCAAAATGTCTATCTTTTAGGTATTCATTCAAAGATCATCTCTGCAAAAAATACTTGAATCCAAAACCATTTGACCACTCAAGTAATGATTGTCATTTTGGTGTTTTCTTGAATGTCTGATATAAAGCATGAAACTTCAGTTTTCTCTTGTGGATTCCTTATCCACTTGCTTGTTTCTTTGTTTATTATCTCTTTTGAATTTACAAAGTTTCTATTAAAAAAAATATATATATATCTGATATATGTAAACTTTGTAGGGATTAAGTTTCTGACATGATGTTTCGTGCTTTATAGCTTCGAGAGAGTATTTCTAAAGACCAAGAAAAAACAGAATCTGTGAAAAGTCAGATGCAAGAATTGGAGGGAAGCATCAGAGACGTGGATGCTAAAATTCGTTATACTGAAGCAACACTGAAAGATTTGCGGGAGCTTCAGGACCAGATATCGATGAAGACTGCTGTAAGAAGCACTCTCTTTAAGGAGCAGCAGAAAAAGTACGCAGATCTTGCTGAGGAGAACGAAGGTCTATAGCTGACTGCCAGTAGTAGGATGCTCATGAGACATTGTTTTCATTTAACAATCTCTGGTTGATTTATACTTGTTTTCACTTTTGCTGGTGTTCCAATTTAATGTTATATTTATATGGAGGACTTTGTTGGTGCTGCCTTTAGGGGATTTGACCTCTATTCTTGTTTGTTCTTTTGGACTGGTCAGACACTGATGAAGAATTGAAGGAATGGAAAACCAAGTTTGAAGAAAGGATTGCACTTTTGGAAACTAAAATTAGCAAGTTAGAGAGGGAAATGGAGGACACAGAGACCAAAAGTGGAGTCCTTAAGAAGACACTAGAGAAATCTATATGGGAGATTAGCAAGCTTCAAACCGAAGCTGAAGTAAGTGAATTACATCTATTTTGATATTCTCAAACTTTATCCAATTTATGTGGAAAATGGTTCTAGTTAAAATCTTTTATTTTTGACTTCAGGTTCATAGGTCCTCAAAGAGCGAGAGAGATTCTATCATTCAAAACTTTTTTACAAGGCACAATTTAGGTTCTCTTCCAAATCCTCCCTTTGATGATGAAGTTGCTTTGAACCTCACAAATAGAATAAAGTCAAGGTTGCTTGAGCTCGAAAAGGATTTGCAAGATAAGAAGGTGACTTCTTCCTTTTTTTACCCTGTCATCTTTTTAATGTTAATGGATGAAATCTTTTGATTCTTTCCACCTATATACATATGCACTTACTGGAAACTTGGAATCATTATTCCTAGCAGAAATGTGTTTAATTTGTTTCTTCAATATTAGGATATCCAACATTACTGGACCTAGTATCTAGATCCATTGAGTTTGGGTTTATACCAACAAATGATTGTTCTTTGATAAGAGAAGCTCACCTATGGCTCTTGGTAGGTGCGGCCTCCTGAAGCTTGTATCCTCCAAGCATGCCTTTGCGCTAATGACTGCTCCAAGCAGTCAAACAGTACTTTCACGCTTGTATGGGTCCACCAAAGTCTTGAAATTCACTATAATCAACATAGGAAATTGGAAACACAAGGATCAAGCTTTGGGCTTTTGAAGTCCGCCTATGTAATTCATAAAAAATGCTTCCAAATATCATTGAATTTAACTAATTATCCCTATAATCCTTTGTGTTAAACTTACTTTTGAAATCTCATTAAATGCGTTGGTTGGTATTTGGTAAATGGATAAGGCCATTTGTGTTTTTATGTGTGGTAAAGAGACATACCCTTCTAATAAGGATATTCCCTATTTTTCTTGACCCTCACATGTCACAACGTTATCCGCAATAAAACAAAGGCTTTCAATTGTTTCAGGAATAACTCATAACTATTATAAGAATTTTCTTTAAAATTGTTTTTGCTAATAAGTTCAGCTCCCATTACTTCACCAATTTTCCCTCTTCTTCTTCTCTCTTCTTCTCTCTTTCTCTACGTTCCATTCTTTACTTACGAGCTCGTGTAGTACTCACCCCTATCTCCAAAGGGGCTTATGCGCTCCACTCGCTGTTTACTAAACAAGCCTTGGAACGAGTGATCAAAGCCTTCAATTTTGTGGCTTCCCCCCCCTTATACCTCACCCTGCTCTTTCCTTTCCACTTAGGCTTCCCCTGTTTGGGGGATTAATTGATTGGATAACCGAGAACCATAATCTTTCCTAGGAATTCCTTGTTTAACTACCCAGCAACAGAAGGAAAAGAAAGCCTTTTCTCTTTCTTAATTAGTTTTCTGAAGAGACTCTTTTTCAATTATTTTCTATAAGACTAAATGATTTATTTTTGAATTTATTAAACTAGTATTTTATAGAGTAAGCAGTTTGTCAAGCACAATGTGCTGACTGCTGGGAATATGTATAGGATCTTATCTGTGTTTGTATATGATGTAGGTATGCTGTCCCCAAATTGCATTTTCATACTAAAGTGTTAACGAATTTACCTTAAAGTGAAGTAAACTCACAAATTCTAAATTGCACTGGGTCCCTTTTTTTTTTTTTTTTTTGGTCTTAGAAGCACTGACTGAATAAGGATGTTATTTCAGAAATCAAACGAATTCGAACTCAAGACAGCATGGGACCACTACATGGATGCAAATGGCCGTTGGAATAATAATGAGGCTCAAAAAGAAGCTAAAAAAGGCATTAAGGTTCGCATTTAAGAATGCACACTAGATAGCCTCCCCAAATTCGGTCTTCTCATGTTTTATGTAGCCTTTCCTAATTGTGGTTCATGCAGAATGGCCTTTTGAAACGCATTAAGGAAAAGGAAAATGAACGTGATTCTTTTGAACTTCAAGTTTCAAATGTTGATCTTTCTCACATTGATGAGAAAGAGAAAAACATGGTGAGGATGATGTTGCTTTGTGGTCATGATTGGGATTCAGAATCTTAGGTTTAAATAACGCGATTAAGATACATGGAAGTAATTTTTCTTTGCCATTGCAGTCGATTGAGGTTGAGAGAAAGAAGAACCAGCTTGCTAGAAGAGAATTTGAATCAACAATAATTCAAAAGGAAAGTGAGCTGTATAGCATTGGGCAAATGATTAAGGTTGCTGATCGAGAAAAAAGCATCCTGGATCTTGATTCGGAGGACAGAGTAAAACTGTCTATAAAGAAGACAGAATTGGAGAATCTAAAAAAGAAACATAGAAAGATGTAGATATATTCTGTTTGTCTCTCTGTCTCAGTTACCCCATTCCCTCTCCCCCCACTCTCCCCTCCCCCCCCTCCCCCTCTCTCTCCCACCCTCCCCCCAG